GGGGGGACGTCAGCCAGAACATGAGCAATAAATCGCAGGTACAAAGCAAGAAAGATATTTATCCTTTAAAAAAATGTTAGCGAAGAAAAAAAAATACGTTTGACGTTTAAGTGGTGCTTCAATCATTTTTATTGTTACAAACTGTGACATATTTTATAGTGGTCCTTTGCGTTTTGTATCCACTTATTGTTTGTTTATTATTATTTTTTTTCTTCTGAAATATGCAGGAAAAGCACCTCTGATAGTCTAAATGGCGTTAACTGTCAGTATACATTTTAGAGATACGACGATTTTGTTTGCATTGTACTGTCGAAATGGTTATGTTGTAGCATAGGTAGTCTACTGTAGTTGTAATCACGAGAAAGGTGGACTCGAAAGTTCGAGCCTCAGCTTGGTTCGACTCTGTATCTAATACCTGGTGCCCATTGTGGATGGGATCGGGTCGGGCCGGGTCGTTCGCCCGACTCGTCGCCAGAAACAAAGGCGTTTGTTTTTGAGGCGATGAGTCGGGGGATCGGGTTGTGCAACAACAGCCGCTTTTCAAACTCAATCTGGCTATCAAAGCGACTCGGCCTGATCGTACCAATGGGCACCCGGTATTAAGAAAATACACGTTTCTCGATTTTTCACATTTCGCACAATCCTTTCGAGCAAATTTGGGGGTCCTGCCTCGTAAGTAATTTATACAATTTCACATTTTCACACACGGCCTTTCCGGCGTTGTCACATGCAAGAGATTCGAGTTCGTGAGGAAAAATTTTATCGAGCATCTTGGTCTTTTTGATTGGGATATTGTTTCCTTCTCAGGACAATGGCTCCTAACATGCACAGTCGGCGACCACCTTCTGAAGTATTCAAATTGTGTCGGTAGAATCTTTAAAAAGTACAGGGTGATCCAAAAAAATCTTTACAACTTTTTTTCTGAATACCTCGCGCAGAATTTGTTCTAGAATGCTGAAATTTGGAACAGACATAATTAATTCAAAAGGAATTTGTTTGATATAAAATCCACGAAGAAGAAACATGTTTTGAAAACGGAAACGGCTAAAAGAAAAAAGCACCCAAAAACGTAAAGTTCATCAATGTTTAAAAATCTTGTAAAGGAAGCCGTGAAAAGATTAGTTGATCTTTTTCTTTATTTTCTCTTTGGAATTAGTTTTCTATCCTTGTGGCATTTAAACAATATTTAATTTCTTTTACAGTTTTAAAAACGTTGATTTCATTCTGAAATTCCAAGAAGCAGTGCTTCACATTCCCTCCTTTTGACTCGACACATTATTAACGCGTCGGTCGAAATGTTCAGAGACGCCCTAACGCAAGGACCTGCTAAACCATGTGTTTTTAAAGCCACATGCACTAGAAGTGGGTTCTAGAGACAATAGAGTGGGGTGCACAATAGACAGCATTTTTGGAGTTAACATATCCCGAATGGTGAAAATGGGCTTTGTGCTAAACCAAATGTCATCGAGGAAATGATCCCTCTTTACAAGACAATCGAGGAATCACGAACACATTGCCATGCTCTGATCCATGTCATCTCGGCCTAGCGAAGATAAACATGGTATAGTCGTAGGTTAAGATCTGCCATTAAAAGGCAGACTGTTGATGTGTAGGAAAGTCCTAACAGCAGATCGTCTACGGACAGACGTCTCATTGGACTCGGCTATTGAAATCTGCACTCTGGTGACGTTTAAAGGGCTGCGCATGGTGCGTGTTCGACCTGAAGTGGTCATTTTTTAAAGAACTTTTTGATTCTGATTCGCTATAGATCCAAACTGACGGAACTTCTCTACTCATAACGCCAAAGGTCTTGAGGGCACCTTAGCATTCTCTCCAAGCCGTGCGCTGAACTTACGAAATGTCAGGGATGGTGAGTTTGTGGAGAGGTAATGTTCAATACCAAAAGCTCTATGCTCTTTATTAAACGTAGCCATGATCTCAGCAGGCAAATACAATTTAGGAAAAATAATATCTGCAGACTTCTGTTGACTTGTTAGACTACTGTAGCTTGCAATATGGCGCGATCGTTGCAACTTTTAGTGGTAGGCCTAATGCGAACTGGTGCGTCATGCTATGAAAATGGCGACAAGGTTGGAAATGGTTGTTTTTTTAATGCGTTCTATAGAGCAAAACCGTTCATTAGACTTATCTAAAATACATATCAGACTAATTCCTATTGGCTTCCAAACGGTATGTTCAAATCTGAAACGCAAAACCTCAGTATGGAGGAAGAAAATTTACAAAACAAGTTGTAAAGTTTTTTTGGATCACCCTGTACCTACATTAAAGGAAAACCCACACACACATACACATACACACACACAGACAACACACACATCAGACAACATTCATACACACACAAACACACACACACACAAACACACACAGACAACACACACACACACACACACACACACACACACACACACACACACACACACACACACACACACACACACACACACACACACACACACATATATATATATATATATATATATATATATATATATATATATATATATATATATATAAAGGTCTATTATACTCTGTATAGGTGTCCTTGGAAAAATATATAGGTATATATATATATAATGAAAGAGAGGGAGTGAGAGAGAGAGAGAGAGAGAGAGAGAGAGAGAGAGAGAGAGAGAGAGAGAGAGAGAGAGAGAGAGAGAGAGAGAGAGAGAGAGACGGACAGACAGACATACAGACAGACAGACAGACAAATACAGAGACAGAGACAGAGATAGAGAGACCAAAACGCGGGCTTACTTTGAGCAAAATATTGGGTCTGACAAAGAGCAGGTGCATCTCCTTCTGTTTTGGGATCATGACGGCCACGGTCATGTCGGCCACCGTTGTGATGCCGCACGGAGTCCGGTCTGTCTTGTAGCAGGATGTCTCCAGGTGTTCACCCTGGTGGAAGAGGGTAGGGCTGGGCAATGAGTCGCTTTAGCAAAATCCGGATAATATGTTAGTGCACCTGTTCGGTAAATATTATGTTATTAATCGGTTCGACAAATGGGTTAGAACCACTTTGACAAACCGATTAGCATCACTTCAACAAATGGGTGCACCTAATTCGTCAAACTGGTCGGGAAAGAGAATTAAGAGTCTGAATTCGGATAATGTACTTATTGACGATTATCCGATTATTCGGATTTTTTGGCGCGGGGAGGGAGGGAGTGATGTGATAAGTAAATGAGGGATGGAGTTGGGGAGGGGGAGGAGAGTGGTGAGTGAGTGAGGGAGGGATGGAGGAAAGGGGCGGGGTGAGAAACAGTATTGATAGATTAATAATAGATTAAATGTGTATAATGATCTATCCCATACAAGTGTAAGCTTCGAGCAGATGAGGGAGCGATGAAGGGAAAAAAAGTATGATGGAATGAGCGAGTGAGTGAGTGAGTGAGTGAGTGAGTGAGTGAGTGAGTGAGTGAGTGAGTGAGTGAGTGAGTGAGTGAGTGAGTGAGTGAGTGAGCACAGACTGACCTCTGTGGTGAAGGACTTGACCGTCATGTTGTCACCGTCTGTGACCACTATGACGTTACCGCTAACAATAGTGACGTCACGAAGACAACATTTGGTCTTGTCTCCCCTGAGTTTGGTCGGCAGACATTTACGACTCCTGGCAAGGGAGAAATAAGAGACTGTTAAATACCAAATCTAAATATGTGAACGGGGGCTCTCGTGGTCTAGAGGTCAAAGTGTTCGCCTCTCATTCAATAGGTCCCGGGTTCGAATCCGGATAGCGACGGAAAATGATTTTTCTGTAAATATTTTCTTTTTTCCAATCACATCCCTTCCTGCTGTCTAACAATATGCTGTCGTCTGCTTTGGTTTCCACTTTCAGCACTCACCCCCTCACCTCCTATGTCCCCTCCTCTGGGCTCTTGACACTTCCTGCAATCTTTCTACTGCACCTCCTTGGCTCCTTCTTTCAGCCACACCCATTATAGTAGGTAACAACTACACGTAGCCTTCTCCAACAAGGGCAAAAAATCTCGGAGGTCCGGTGTGCAAGCTGCGCACGTTAAAGGCCCACTGGTGGTCCAAAATCGATCAAAGTAGGTTTCGGCAGCCACCCGGGCAAAAATCACAATTTCCTGCCAATTGAAAATGTTTAATATGCCCCCCCCCCCCCCCGGCTCACATGACCAAAAGCAGTTGCGCGGGCAGTAAAACACTTACTTAAAAAAACAAAAAAACAAACAAAAACCCAACAAAACAAAACAATTATAACAATTATGTAGACTAAGGGAAACAACCTCAGATTTGTATGTACGCTTCCCGAGAGGCCAAGAATGTTTCTGAGTGTTCTAGGGTCTTTGGTTTTAGTAAGATTTTTACGGTGCTCGCAACTGCATAAGGTCATATGAGCGCAAAGGGGTTGATGTCAACAGAGAATTCCAAACGCGGAATCAGGCTTTCTCTGCTCACCTCTCTTGCCTCAAGTCTGCTTCGACTATCAAGGCACCCCGGTAATAGTAGTTCACAAGAGGGTGACAAACACACATCAGAACTAGAAGAGAAATGACGATAGTAAGGATGAGGAAAGAAAACTCAACAGTTGGGGAACAATGGGCTGACTTATCAATGTCATGCACATATTGTGCCGAAACAACACTTACAAATCTACTGCGCATACGAATATATTTATATCCCCCCTTCTGGGAATGGCCTCAAGACACTTCAGTCAGTCGCATTGCCCTAAGGGGGGGGGGGTCTACTAAGGTCTACTGGGGTAATAATAGTTGCAACGCACGAAGAGCAGGCTGTATGTAGAGCGTGGATAAGCGCTATATTAATTCAATTATTATTATAAATTTGTTTTGTTCAGTTTTGTTTTATTCAACTTTTTACGAAACAAAGAAAAGGGAACTTTGTCTTTGAAAACTTCTTTGTGTGAGAGTGTTTATGTGTGTGTGTGTGTGTGTGTGTGTGTGTGTGTGTGTGTGTGTGTGTGTGTGTGTGTGTGTGTGTGTGTGTGTGTGTGTGTGTGTGTTATTTTTAAAATCAAAATTACTCAGACGAAGGAGGAGTTTGTTATTTTCTACTGTGTTTGGCTGAGTAATTTTTACAAGAAAAGAGTCAATTTCAATCCCTTGGATTCGTACAAAAGTTGACATCGTGGTTCTTTCCCCTTAGCCTGCAAGTTACATTATTGTGTTTGGTGAATGAATAAAAAAGGGTAGAATGGTATTTGACAATGATAGTGATAATGGCAGTCTTCACTCCTCTTGCAGGGTGAAATTTGTGTTGATTGTTGACAATGGCAGTGATGTTACACATGCTACAAAGGTGCACTGACGCATGCACACTATGGGCACCCCCCCCCCCCCCCCCAGGCGGTGCCACTGACAGAAGTGTCTTTTGGCCATTCCCATTTCTCGTTCATGCACAGTAGAATAATTGTAAATGGGCTGATCTGACAAAGTCATGCGCATAACTGTGCCTGAACTACAACAGCGAATTGCTGCTTTTTCTTTCCTAATCCTTACTATCGTCATTTTCCTTTTCTTCTTTTGTATGTTTGTCACACTCTTGTGACCCGCTATTTCGGGGTGCCTTGATAGTAGAAGCAGAATTTGTACTTTTGAAGCTAGAGAGATGAGCAGAGTAAATCTTGATTCCCTATAAGGACTTCTCTGTTGACATTCACCCCTTGGCGCTCATATGACCTTATGCAGTTGCGAGCGCCGTAAATCCTCTATTTAAAAAAACCACACCTCACAATGGGCAAGGGCATTACATACAAGTCAATGCCCAAGAATTGCAAATTTCTATCTGCTCAGTCCCTAGTTTTGAGATAAAAAAAGTTGACGTTCAAAATTTAGAGTTTCACAACATGTCAAGCTTTTTGGAATGCAATTCTTAGAATATCTTGATAACGACTCCAAAACGTCTTGCAATTTTGACAGAGCAGATAGAACACTTGGTTTCTGACCTCTTGGTCTTATTAACTCAAAACGACCATAATGTCAAACAGAATTTTGTAATTCTAAGGTAGCGGTGTGCTACCTGTGAAACACCCCCGCTCTGTAAACCCCCCCCCCCCCCCCATCTCTCTTTTCTCACTCTTTTTGTGAGTGTGCGGGCGCGTTTGTATTGTTGTTTTTGTCGTGTGTGTGTGTGTTGTGTGTGTGTGTGTGTGTGTGTGTGTGTGTGTGTGTGTCTGTCTGTCTGTCTGTCTGTCTGTCTGTCTGTCTGTCTGTCTGTCTGTCTGTCTGTCTGTCTCTCTCTTTTCTCTCTCTCTCTCTTTCTCTCTCTCTCTCTCTCTCTCTCTCTCTCTCTCTCTCTCTCTCTCTCGTCTACCTGTGTGACCCCCCACCCCTCAATCCCCCTGTACTCACTGCAAGATGAGGTTGGTTTCTGTCAGGATCGGACTAGGGGGCGGAGCCATGCCATTGGTGGACCTGAAAGACGAGGCAGGGGCTGTGGCCGTACTGGAGATAGATTCCCTTCTCAGAATCTCCAGCTTAGGAAGCAGGAATCGAATTTCGCGGACTCGCCGCGTCACCTGGGATACCCAAAAGAACACTGAAGTCGGGAAGTACTAAGACTGAGTACTACTCAATTGGGAGGTACTAAGATTTAGTATTGGGCCCTCATGCCCAACCCAGCACGTCCCCAGTTGATGGATAGGGGAAAGGCCTCCATATATATGGAAGTTAGCTGCTAAGCAGTTGCGCATCAAATGGGAGATGGTCGGGGAGAGTAGAGGAGAACCCTGGTGGCACAGGTGCTTCAATAAATACTCGTACCTCATACACTCGAAGACGGGACCATCTTGGCAAACGGGATGCGCCATAAATCCTACCAAAGCCCCCACTTCCTTGAGGCTTGTCAGTGGATGACAAAGGCAAGAAAAGAAAACTGTACACAAACAGGCAGTATGCAATGGGAAACTACTGCTGTAATCTCACAAGAACAATCATTGAAAAGAATATTCATTTCTTAGATAACAACGTTAAGGGGGTTCATGATCCAGCTCTGAACTCCCCCGCTCGGTAAGGACTGCCACGGGCAGCAGGTTGGGCACGATTGTCATCCAGCTAAGGGCTGCAAAAATAGACAACTTAACATATCCACATGGAATGTGAGAACAATGTACCAGAAAGGCAAATTAGATAATATAGAGCAGTAAATGGATAGGATGAAGCTAAATACGCCTTTTAGAAGTTAGATGGGAGGGGGAAGGCTTGATTTAAAGGAGGATCAAAAACAATTGTATACTCAGGAGGAAAAACCCATGAAAGAGGAGTCGAAATTTTATTTGACGAAGCAACGGCAAAGAGCATCAAAGATTTTTGGGGAGTGGCTGATAGAGTCATCGTGGCTAAATTAGAAGGCATACATTTTTACATAGGTGTCATCCAAACATATGCACCAACATCAGAGCACGACAACGAGGAAATTGAGACTTTTTATGAAGGCCTTGATAAGGCAATTAAACAGTAGTTAAAACAACAAGATGTAAATGTAGTAATGGGGGACTTTAAGGCCAAAGAAGGAAGATATTATAGGGCCATGGGGACTATAGTATAGTATGGTATAAGATTTTACGGCGCTCGCAACTGCTAAGGTCATATGAGCGCGCGAAACACAAGTTGTTCACCTCTGCGAAAGTTCACTTCACGACTGGCTAACTAATTTACTTTAAAATGCTAAAAAGTTAAAATATTCAAATTTGGTGTAAATACATTTGTGATCTAAAACAACTTTTAAGTAACAATAATTTTTTTTAATAATATCAAATTCACTCTACAATTCGCCATAAAGGCCAATGGGCCATGGGGACTGGGTAAAGAGAATGAACGCAGGGAACGACAGATAGAGTGGTGTAGAGTAAATATTCTATGATATCAAACACCTGGAATGAAAATCATCCAAGAAGACGATATACTTGGAAGAGATATAAGTAAAATCAAATAGACTTCATTCTTATTCCGAAACGTTTTCGAAATGCAATTAAATCGTCTAAATCACTGCCAGGAGCAGACTGTGATAGTGACCAAGTACCAGTCATGTGTAAAATGCAAATGAGACTGAAGAAACTTAAAAAGTCAAAGTATCAACCAAAATTTGACATAGATCTTTTAAAGACAAACCAAGAGCTGAAAGAACGTTTCTCCATAGATGTAAGCAATAAATTTCAAGCTCTGGAAAACATTACTAAATCTGAAGAACCCTGGAGAAAAATGAAAGACCCAATAATGGAAACTGAGGAAGAAAATATCCCTCCAAAAGCTAAAAAGACCTGATAAAAAATGGATGACTCAGGACATATTAAAACTAATGGAAGAGAGAAGACCGGCAAAATCAAATGTGGAAAAGCACAACATCTTACACAGGGAAAGAAAGAATAAATGATAAGTGTCAACAAACAGAGAAGAACCCAAACAAAGACAGCAAATATGCAAGGATGCTCAAATACAGGGTGCATAAGATCAAAAGGAGGATATATTTTAAAGGACAATGGGGATGTCTTAAACAAATGGTCAAAATAAATAGAAGAACTTTTCAAAGATAATAGAGGAGAAAAAACAGGTAATAAAGAATTAAATGAATGGACCACCAATACTGAAAGCAGAAGTACAAGTTACCATTAGGAAAATGAAACAAGGAAAAGCCTCAGGACCAGATAATATTCCAGTTGAAGTAATTGTCGAGCTTGAAGAACTAGACAATGAAATAACAAAGCTTTAAATGCTATTTATGATAGAGGTCAGATCCCAGAAGATACGATGAAGTCAGTTTTTATAGCTTCACCTAAAATACCAAGTGCCACTGAGTGTGAGATGCATAGAACAATTAGCCTTATAAATCATTTTAGAAAATATTGCTGCGAGTCATAAAGGGAAGATTTAGAAAAACTGTAAGATCAGAGATACTTAAAATGCAATTCGGCTTTGTTCCTGACAAGGGCACCAGAGATGCTATATTCACCATAAATATGTTAATGGAAAGATGTATTGAAGCACCGAAAGATCTGTATTTATGCTTTCTAGATTATTCAAAGGCGTTCGATAAAGTTAGACATGATGAGCTATTTATAATACTGAAAAAGTTGGACATAGATGGAAAAGATCTAAGAATTATCTGGAATTTGTACTGGGACCAAAACGCTGCTGTGCGAAATAATGGAAAATACAGTGAATATAATATGCAGATTTGGAGAGGAGTGAGGCAAAGATGTGTTATGTCCCGGAACCTCTTTAACATGTACAGTGAAACAATACTTAGAAACATAGAAAAATGTCCAGGTCTCAAAGTAAATATGAGGCACCGTGGTGGAATCAGGCTCTTGTCAAAATAATAAAAGTGAAGAAACTTGCATTTTTCCGCAAGTTTGTGAATTTTTATCAAATTTTTGTTTTTTGGCTCAACACCTTTCATGCCCATTAAAGAACTAATTTCAGTGTGGATTTTTTCTGAAAAACGTTGATTAAAGGCACAAAAAATGTAAATTTTCAGTTACCATTTACTCTTAATTAAGCTAAGGAAATAACTAATCTTTTACGGTTATTTTCTCCCTAATTTTACCGCTGAAAAAAGGTGACCCCCACCTCCTTCTTTCGCAAATGTCTCGACTTGTATTCAAGGTAAATGGATATTTTTTCCATCCTAATAAAGACAAGCGAAAAAGGTTTAAAATACCAATAACTCTAAATGCCCAAAAATTGACGAGAGCCTGATTCCACCACGCTGCCTCACAAATAGAGAAAATATTAATAACATCAGATATGCAGATGACACAGTTTTAATAGCAGGCTCAGAAAAGGGCATTCAGTTGCTTCTAGATACTGTTGTAACAGAAAATCAACGTAAAGGATTAGTGTTGAATGTAAAGAAAACAGAATGCATGGTTAATATCTAAAAAAAAGCAGCAAATCCTAGTTGTAATCTCATTAGCAAAGGTGAAAAGATCAAACAAGTCCGAAAGTATAAATATCTAAGGTATATGATAACATCTGATGCCAAATTATGTTCCACTGATATAAAACATATAATTACAATGGCTAAGGCATGCAGATTAGATATGCAGATGACACAGTTTTAATAGCAGGCTCAGAAAAGAACCTTCACCTGCTTCGGGATACTGTTGTAACAGAAAGTCAACGTAAAGGATTAGTGTTGAATGTAAAGAAAATAGAATGCATAGTAATATCCATAAAAGCAGCAAATCCTAGATGTAATCTCATTAGCAAAGGTGAAAAGATCAAACAAGGCCAACAGCTTAAATATCTAGGATATATGATAACATTTGAGGCCAAATGTTCCACAGAAATAAAAAAGGAGAATTACAATGGCTAAGGCTAGTTTCAATAAAATGAGCCCAATCCTGAAAAATAGAAACATCTCAATGAATACCTAAATGAAAGTTCTGAAATGCTATGTATGGTCAACCCTTCTATACAACTGTGAATGGTGGACAATCACTAAAGACAGTGAAAATAAAATAGAAGCAACAGAAAAGTGGTTCCTTAGGAGACTGCTAAGAGTATCGTGGAAGGAAAAGAAATCAAATGAGGTAGTGGTTGATGAAGCCCGCGTGGGAAGCTCTCTGTTAAAAACAATCAGGAAACGACAAATGCAGTTTTTGGGACACCTGATTAGACATAAGGGTCTTGAACTTCTAGCTCTCACTTGCAAAATTGAGGGCAAGCGAGGCAACGGAAGGCCCAGAGCAACCTACTTGGGGAACCTGAAAAAGTGGGTGACAGGGAAAGACCAGGGAAACGCGGCTTTTTTTTAAAGCATCAGAGCAAAGGAATGAATGGAGAACCATGATCGCCGATGTCTATTGCACTGGGTGCTGATGAGGATAATTACAAAGTTCTGTCTGCCTTTTTTTTAGCCGTTCTTAGTTACTAAGGCCATTTCGTCAGAAAAAAAGTAAAGTTTCTGCCTGTTCTATCAAAATTGTATGATCATTCGGAGTCGTTATTATGATATTCAAAGAATTGCTTTCGAAAAAGCTTGATATATTGTGAAACTCAACTTTTTACGTCATATTTCTCAAAACTAGGCACTGAGCAGAGAGAACTTTGTAATTCTAGGGGAGCGAAATGACAGAACAATTTATGCACAACGCTGTGGAATCAGGTTCCAGTCAGGTTTAGGGCAGAAGGAGTTATTGTGCTAATCTTAAAGCCTATTCGTTTGGCTTTCTTTTGTTGAGTAAAATAATCATCTTTTGAAACAGGTGGGGTCTCCTGGTGTGAGATGTAAAATTAGGGAGAAAAGTGCCGCCAATGTTTTGTGGCTTCCAAGTTGAGCGTCCATAGAAACTCCAAATTTACATTTCCAGTGCCTTTTATCAAAATTTTTCCGTAAAACCCACACAGCCCCCCCCCCCCAACCTCCCTAAAAGCGAGGAAAAAAATCAATATAAATTTGCAGGAAAATGTCGATCACCTGATTTCACCACGATGCCACACAATTTGAATACCACGTCTAAAGCAGTAAACTGCTGGAGAAAAGGGCCTTGAGGGATTTTAATCGACCTGCCTCTTGTTGGGAGAAGTTGTGTCCTGTTGGTGGATACATCCAAAATGAATTTTCATGGACTGCTAAACAAAAAGGTAAAAAATAGTTTTATTTCCACAGCCAGATGCACACACTGAAACCCTACGGTGAATCTGAACGCTGCTTACAAGGCCATACCGTTCAAAATGGGAGAGGGGGGTTGGGGGGGGGGGTAACTTTATTTTTACGAAATAGGTAAGAAACATACCGTCAAGTTCCCAAAGTTTAAGTTGGCCATTTTGTTCATGACAGAATTGTTTCTCTCCAGCGTCAAAGAGAACGTGGGTATTTCTGGGGTAGCTGGGTTCTGGGAACATATGCCAAAAAAGCACATCAATGTTGTAGCTGTAAACGTGCAACTGGTACAAGTGGTACAACATCTCTTGTTTGTTTGTTTGTTTGTTTGTTTGTGTATGTGTGTGTGTGTGTGTGTGTGTGTGTGTGTGTGTGTGTGTGTGTGTGTGTGTTTCCGCGCGTGTGTGTACGTGGTGAAACACTAAACCATTGTAACTGTACTCAATAAACAAAAATCAGTCACTGGGATAAAATCATAGCACTGTGGGCTGACATTTGCGTCTGCTCTCATTGGTTGAATCAGAAGGATTTGGTATTGGGGTTTGGGGGTTGAAAAAGAAAGTATTTTACTCGTTGAAAAAAAAAATCAATCGTACGATTTTAGCCCAATAGCATTGACGTGCGAGACCAGCGGATCACGAAATATATGAAAAGTAGTACGAGAAAACATAACATCTATAATATGCATTTTGATGGAAAAAAACAGGGATTATTAGATAATTATTAAGAGCCTTGCTTCCCTCCCCCCCCCCCCCCCCCCCTATGTCCTTTATTTAGCTAAACAAGTGCGCTTCATGGCGAATCGGAAATACGTTAGAGTGCACGGTCTAGTATGGTATTAGATATACGTCTGTGGTCTTACTTTACTCATGATTTCTTAAGCCTGACTGACGTTAGAGTGCACGGTATATAATATGATATTGTGATATACTAGCTGAGTACCCGTTCGATTAACGGACTCAAAAGAATCGATCATCAAATCAGACTGCTTGTGAACGGAAGCCTTATTTGTTTACTATGACGTTTTAGAAGACGCACTTTCCCAAAGTTAGATCTAAACGAAATTGATGAAAAACTTAAAAAATTAAACTACAGTGACTCCAGACTCATTAATACAACTGTGCACCCTTTAAATGATTCTGAACTACAGAATTTTTTTTAAATTCCAGAGTGAAGGCGTTAGGCGACCAAAGTGAGGAACTTTCACAAATACAATATACAGGGTGATAAAAAAAACAAAAAACAAAACAAAACGGCACAACTTTTTTTCTGAATATCAATACAAAAAATGTCTAGAACGCTGTAATTTGGAACTGACATCATTCATTCTAAAGGAATTTGTTTGACATAAAATCCACGAAGAAGAAACTTATTTTGAAAATGGAAATGGCTTAAAGAAAAAAGCACCCAAACACGCAAAGTTCCCCATTTTGAAAAAAAATCTTGCAAAGGAAGTCATGAAAAGATTGGTTGACTTTTTTCTTTATTTTCTCTTTGACATTTAATTTTCCATCCCTGTAACATTTAAACAATATTTAATTTCTTTCACAGAGTACAAAAGCGAACAATTTTATTCTGGAATTCCTAGAAGAAGTTCTCTACATGCCCTCCTTTGGACTCAACCCAATTTTAACACGTCGTTCGAAATGTTCAATAGCTTCCAAACACAAGAACCTGCTAAACCATGAGGGTTCAAAGCTACATACACTGTACATGTTCAGTATAAAGTGGCTTCTAGAGACAATATGGAGCTGGGTGCCCAGTAGACAGTAATTTTGGAGTCAACATATCCCGCAGGATAAAAATTGGCTTTTCACTAAATCAAATGTCATCGAGGAAATGATCCAGCTTTTCAAGACACTCGAGGAACCATGAACACATTGCCAAGCTTTGATCCACGTTATCTCGGCCTAGCGAAGAGGAAAAAAGACAAAGTCATAAATTAAGAGCTGCCCTGAGAATGCAGACGGATGAAGTGTAGGAAAAGCCCAGCTGCAGATCGTCTACGGATAGACATTTCAAGGGACTCGACTACTGAAATCTGCAATTTTGTGACGTTTAAAGGGCTGCATATGGTGCGTGTTCGATCTGAAGTGGTCATATTTTAAGGGAATTTTTAGTTCTGATTCGCTATTGATCCAAACTGACTGAACCTCTCTACTCGTGACACAAAAGGTCTTGAGGGTACTTAAGAATTCTTTCCATGCCGTGCGCAGGACTTGCGAAATGTCAGGGATGGTGAGTTTGTGGAGGTGTACTGTTCAATATAAAAAACTCCCTGCTCTTGACAAAACTTAACTATGATCTCAACAGGCAAACGAAATTTGGGAAAAATAGTATCTGTAGGCTACTGTTGACTTGTTAGACTGCTGTAACTTGCAATATGGAGAGACTGTTGCAAATTTTAGTGGTAGGCCTAATGCAAACTGGTGTGTCATGCTTCGAAAATGGGGACAAGGTTGAAAACGGGTTGTTTTTTTAATGCGCAATATAGAGCAAAACCATTAAATGGATATATTTAAAATGAATATCAGACAAATTTCTTTTGGCTTCCAAATTTTACGTTCAAATCTGAAAAGCAAAACTTCAGTATGGAGGGAGATATTTACAAAACAAATGGTACAGTTTTTATTTTATCACCCTGTACGATGAGTATATTAGATTTCTGTGGTCTTACTTTGCTCATGACATCTTCAGCTTGACTGACCACTCCTTTACACTTGCTGACCACCGCCATGTCCGAATCATGCAGCATCTTCTGGGTGTCTGCCATGAATGTTTGGAGTTGGTCCCTGAGGTAGATTGTATATGAGAACAAACTGATGAAAGATGCGTTTTCTTTGGTCATTTTGGTATTACTTGGGTTTAAATACTGGAATGACCAGGGACAGGCAAGCGTGGCGTCGACTGCTCTCTGCCTTAGGAGTTTGTGAGTAAGCGAGTGAGTGGTTGAGTGAGTGAAGGAGTGAATCCTTATATGAAAGGAAATGTTTAGAATTTTCGCCGTTGCACGCACAAGATGCGAGTTCGATTCCCGCACGAGGAGGTTTATCATGGAGTATTATGAAGAAATACTTTTTAAAAGATTAAGTATCTGCGTCTGTCTGTTCGTATTTAGCCCAGGTTAGCTCTGACAGCCGCAATCGCGGCAGCCCGCTGCCCCAATGGCCTAAAGTATGTCCATGGGGTTGTAAGACATAAATAAAATAGTACAATAATACATTTATGGTTCTGACTTTCCTCGTTATATCACCCTCTATAACAAAGTTTAAACTCACAGCAAAGTCCAAGGGAAAGGTTTTTGGGAAATCGCAGCCCTAGAATCACAAAGTTCTATCTGCTCAGTGCTAACTTCAGGTCAAGCCTTATCAAACGCAATTCTTTGAATATCTTGATAACTACTTTGAATATTTTTACGATTTCGATAGAGCAGATAGAACTTTTGACTTCTGACCTCACGGTATTAGTAACTCAAAACGGCCAAACATATAAGTTAGAACTTTGTAATTGTGAGGTAGCGAAATAACAAATTACACGTTGAAAAGAAACCAAGCACCAAACGAACATAGTAATTTCAAAAGTAAATATAGTATTCTGTGCAGAAAGTCTCTCATTATTAGTAAACATCTATCTGGCGCTCATATGACCTTATGCAGTTGCGAGCGCCGTAAAACCTCTACTAAAACTAAACAAAAAAATCTATGGCTGAATCTCATGGTTATCAATACATCACCATAATTGAAACTCGTAGAGGTAACCGATAAATTAGTAATGTACAATTCTATAGCTGAAACTTGCTGTACGAGCAATTATGATCTCTTGAATTGAAACTGTGTAAAGAGAATAATCAATAGCGAAAAAAAGAAGAGTTACTACTCGTTTACCATTAACGGAGATGTCGGCCGAAAATAGACATAGTCCATATCAAAAGTATAAATTTTTAACCGGTGAGATTTTTTTTCCAAGTTAAATAGATCTTTTATCATTTCTCATAATACATTGTACAAAATAAGCTTGTAAATTAGACATACATGTAAATAAATAAATATATATATATATACACACACACATATTATATATATATATATATACACACACATATATATATAGAATTTATATACACATTATATATTTATATGTATATATATAATGTGTGTATATATATATTATACGTAATATACCAATAATAGGGGGTTCTCGTGGCCTGGAGGTTAAGGTGTTGGCCTCTCATTCAAAGGTGCCGGGTTCGAATCCGGGTAGCGACCGAAACATTTTCTTCTCTAAAATTGTCTCCTTTCACCTCCTTTCCTGCTCTCTAGCAATGTTCTGTTGTCTGCTTTCATGTCCACTTTTCTGCCCCCACCCCCTCACCCCCTTTGCCCCCTCCTCTGGGCTCCTGACTCTTTCTGCAGCCTTTCTACTGCTACTCCTTAGCTCCTCCTTACTGCTGTCTTTCTGCCACACCCCTGATCTTCATGTAGGAAAGATCTACACCTAGCCTTCTCGGACAAGGGCGAAAAATCTCGGAGGGCCCGTGTGCAAGTTGCGCACGTTAAAGATCCCTTGGTGGTCTAAAATCGATAAGAATAGGCTTCGGCCGCCACCCGGGCAAAATTCAAAATTTCCTACCAACCGAAAATGTTAGGTGTGTCGCGCGCGCTCATATGACCTTATGCAGTTGCGAGCGCCGTAAAACACTTTACAAAAACAAACAAACAAATACCAATAATATATACATGTTATATTTTATCAAATTATATTATGAGGATACAGTTCGAGAATTTAATCATTTATTGTCAGACCCCTCACACATGTCAATTATTGAAACTTCCTATAATTTATTCTGATTTCCTTGTAGTTAGTCGAAACTCACTCTGAAGTTTTCATCACGGACTTCTCGGCATCAAAAACCTGTTTGCACTCTGTGAACTTGTCATGCATCTCAGTCACAGTTTTATCAAACTCATCTTTGATCAACTTTTGTGCGGCTTCGTACATCCGCTGAAAGTGAAGAAGGTTAGCGGACGATAAATCATAATCTATCAAAATAGCTTATAATAATATAGTTACATGCTAAAAATCTACGAAAAGGGGAAGGGAGGGGGTGTGAATGTATTATAATCTATTCGTATGTCGGGGTTGAAAGGGGGGGGGGGGGGTAGGGGTAGAGGAGCGGATGGGCGATCTAAGAGTAGGTGTTAGGAGCGGGCCGTGTTTTTCGGGACTTTTTTCGGGATGGGGTGGGGGGTGTTTTTTTTCTCTAAAGTTTGGTGTTTAATCCCCCTCCCCCCCCCCCCCTTCCCTTCCTTCTGGACACAATTATGACGTGTCCGCTACGTGGACAAACAGGATGAGAAAGCCTCTGCACAAATTACGCTCGTCTTTGGGATCGGAAAATAGAACACTGTTACGTGTACGCTTTCTCAGATAACAACACAATGTACACTCTCTTTGTATTACCTGAAGCTCTCCCATGGCAAGATTTCTGTGGGCTTCTAGTATTTTCGACTCTTTGTCCAGTTCCACAAGGCGTACTCTCACTTTCTCCTGTCTGTAGGAAAAGATAAAGAGCAGATTAAGTTATTATTACTGAAGTTTTTCCTCTAGTATATGCGGTTATACGCCACCATCCACACAATTTAGTTTTCTTTCATGTTCTCCTGTCTGTAGGAAGAGATAAAGAGCAGATTATATTATTATTGTTAAAGTTTTTTTCTCTTTAATATACCCGATTGCTCGTGTCCATCGACACAACTTAGATCTTTTAGAGAGGCAGATTTCGACATTGCCTGTCAGGGCCAACCCGGGTTCAAAAGGACACATCTCAGCACAGTGGACCGAGGTACTCGATAGAAATTCTCCCCATACGGCGGTAGGGATTTGGGGGGGGGGGGGTATTGTTGTTCAATGCAGATGTAAATGTGTTTAAGTGTTTAAATGTGTGTATATATATATATATATATATATATATTTGATGTTAATCCATGTGTCGGAATGGATAGGGCTCTAGAGGACCAACATGTAAAACATGCGAGCAGCTACTTTTAAATGCTTCCCCATCAAAACAAGGTCCAAAAACCTTATTTCGTATACTTAACTGTTATCTGGCAACCATAGAAGAAAAGGGGCAAGGGACAAAAAACAAAGGTTGAAAACCCTCTGTCTACCTTTCTTGGATGCCGCTCAGATGATAGCTGATACTGTTACGTCGTTCTTGAGCTGCCACCGACACCGTGTAAACCTGAAATTGAAATACATGTACTGTTGTTTATTATTCAGAAATCCAGACACGTATAAGTGTAGTAGTTTTACCCCTCTCTCCCCCACACAAAAAATCAGAACAATTTAGATCATTTAGCAGGCCCGCAACTTTGAGAAGACCTGCCTCTCATCAGGACCAACACCAGCTGAAAGCAGATAGATAGAGTTACTCAATTTTAAAAAAATGCATAAATTACACCAAAAAAATTAATAAAATAAACAATAATAAAAACACAAACACAACAAATAAGACCGAGAATTGGACTCATGTATTTTACGTGCGATAGCAAAGTGCCTAACAGTAACACAACAGGCGCGGTATAATAAAAAATCAACAACGTGTTATTGTGGACTTTGAGCTGCAGCAAAAGGTAAAGAAATGTGTGACATCGTGGTGAAATCAGACGCTGGTTGCAATAATGGGATCGAAGAAATCAGCATTTTCCTGTCCCTCTAGCAATTTTTATGGGTTTTTTTTTTTTTGCTCAACACCCTATAGGTTCACTACACAACAAAACAGCAAACAAACAAATATCTGTGTGGGATTTACAGAAAAATGTCGATGGCAGGTAGAAATATAAATTGTCCATTTCCATGGCTACTCAAGTTTTGGGAGTCAGCATAAAACTTTGGAGCCTAATTTCTCGCTAATTCTACGTCTCTCATCAGGCCACCTCCTCCTGTTTTAAGCTCAGCTGTCTCGACTTGTATTAAAGAAATGCTATTTCATTCAAGAAAGGAAAGGCAAAGGAAGTGGCGTAAGATTATATCAATAGCTCCATATAAACCAAAATAATTGACGTGCGTCTGATTCCACAGCGTCGTGACACGAATATATCGAGAGCTGGCATCGTTGACCAACACTTCAGATCTGATGTACTAATCAACAAATTTTGTTTGGTTTTTGTTTTGCTTTGTTGTTTTGTTGTTGTTGGTTTTTTTTCGTTTGTTCTACTACTGCAATTTCGTATTCTATGGTACTGGTTGAATGTGCTTGAGACTTACTATGTTGAAATACAAACTCTGACTGTTGAGAAAAGCAAGACAATATGTATAAAAAGGAGATGACCTATTTCGTCCAGTTGCACGGTTAAAGCATAACATCACCAACGAAGTGTCCGTTTATTGTTTTGTTTTAGTACGATTTTACGGCTCTAGCAACACAATTAGGTCATATAAGTGCCCGTCATATAAGAGGTGTTCGAAGGATGGGAGATAAGAGATGTTTGATAAGAAGGAAGGAAGGAGGGAAGGAAGGAAGTAGTAAGGAAAGAATGGAGGAATGAAGGAAGAAAGCAAGGAAGGAAGGAAGGAAAGGATGGAGGGATGAAGAAAGAGAAAGAAAGAAATGAAGGAAGAAAGAAAGAAAGAAAGAAAGAAAGGAAGAAAGAAAAAAAGAAAGAAAGAAAGAAAGGAAGGAAGGAAGGAAGGAAGGAAGGAAGGAAGGAAGGAAGGAAGGAAGGAAGGAATCACACCAGAGCACCCACCAACCACCTACATGGAAGTGCTCTATGTTCTGACCTGGCTGCACATCCGATGTGAGACGGCCTGACATGTGTAGCAGATGGGTACGGTGTCGCAGTTGGCACACACAAGCTCCAGCTTATTCCCGTGCTCGGCACACACAGCGGCCTCTGGGTTGGCGTTTGGGTTCATGTGCTCTATCATGTTCTGGTGGACGTTGTAAAGAAGATAGGGGAATGTTAAATAAGCATAATCACCAAGTGCCAGATCTGCCGCAGACATGGGCGATCATGGTTCTCCATTCATTCCTTTGCTAGGATGTTCTTGAAAAAGCTACGTTACCCTGATCTTACCCCGTTACCCGTTTTTGTTTAGGTTCTCTAGGTAGGTTGCTTTGGGCCTACCCATGCTTCGTTTGTCTTCAAATTTGCCAGTGGGAGCTAGATTTTAAAACCCTTATGTCTATTCAGGTGTCTCAAAAGTAAGTAAGTTTATTCAGTTTTGGAGGCCATTGGCCCACATCACAACATATAAAAAACTCAGTTGTTAAATAAAGATTCCATCATGAAAAAGTACAGGATTTTGACATAAGCTGCGTGTCAGAAAACAGTTTATCATATCTCCTATTGCAAAAATATCGTAACTCTAGTTATGATAGCTTTGAAACCCAGGCCCGAAACCGCTCCTCGTTTCTCCACTAGGTCAGATGACAACATTAATTGATTTAAGTGGATGAGTTTACAGGCCTCAGCTTAACCGAGACACATGTGTTCGGGTTCGAATCTCCTGGTGAGTGTTCCTGTCATGCAAGTATCGGTGACCCGGGGATCAGATGGGTGGTCACCGGTGTAATGTTAGTATACACACACGACTGTAAACTGGAGAGACGAACACACACGACACCAAGCAATCTAATATTGAGCCCGGGTGTAGTGTCTGACTTTTTATGTTGATCCCCGAAGTGAGTAACATTAACCAAAAGCCCATGGCATACAGGGCGCTTACGTCCCGTGATTTAAAAAGAGTAAGATACAATATGGTGATTACCGTGACATCTCCCCTTTTAATATTGAAGAAAAAGGAACACCTCAAAATAGATTAAAGATTATCGGTTTCGAGTCTCTTAAAGGGGAATGTTCTAACTTTAACAAAATTCACACACAGAGTTCAATTGTCTTTGAAGATTCGGGGCTTGCACTTGAGAACTTGGTAACACATTTCAATAAAGTTCTTTAGTACTTCATAATTTCCACATTTCAAATTGTCTTTGTCACATTCATAGAACTGCATAACGTCCAGATAGCGAAACTTAAGAAAATAAATTACCTCGAACAGGTAGGTCTACACAACTACTGGGTAATCAGCTAAGAATAAACCAAAAAAAAATAAAACCAGTCATCTAAAGGATACGACTGGGTGGCAAGAACATCAGTACGGGTAACGAGCGGGTCTCCTGACCACTTGTCCACTTCGGGTAGTTATTGGAGCTGGACTAACTGGAGTGGCAGCTGGCTGAGGTGATGGTGGTGTGACATCTGGCTCCACAGGCTGGACAGCTGGTGGCGGAGGTAAGGGAACGGACATAGACGTAGGCTCTGGGGTGGCAACACGTGAAGAAGGCATGGAAGGAGGGTCGACGTAGGGCTTCAGGTGTTTGCAGTTCCGGCGGTAAGCCCTATCCCCAGACTGTATGATGTAAGACCTCGGTGCACACCGTTCTTTGACAACGGCAGGGCCACGCCACTCCTTGTCGTTCTCCAGCTTCTGCAGGACGAGCTGATCAGGATTCAGCTCCGGGAGGTTCTGGGCTCTGTGGCTCTGTGACGTCTGTCAAAAGCATGTTTGTACTTACGCTTCGACTCGGCGTCTCTGGCTGCAATCTTCGCCCTGTCGTAGACCTGCTGGTTCAGGTTTGACGGTAGAGTTGGCAGGGTCGTCCTCAGGCGTCGCCCAAGAGCAAGTTCCGCTGGGCTCGCCCCCGTCGGTGACACCGGTGTAGACCTGTAGATCAGGAGTGCGAGAAATGGGTCGTCCTGACTCAGGGCTTTCTTAGTTTCCTCGACTGCTTTCTCCCACCCGTCGTTGCTCTGGGGGAAAATGAGGACTGCTGGTCGTGCGTTTAAACCCCCAGCCCTTGGCGAACTTGTGGAAGCGGTCTGACACAAACTGGGGACCGTTGTCAGTGACCAGTAGTTCTGGAATGCCAAACCGAGCGAATATGTTTTTCAGTTTGTACACAACAGTCTCTGAGGTGGTGTCTGGCATGTAGGCCACCTCCAAGTACCGTGAAAAGTAGTCCACAAGTACCAGGTAGTCATGTCCCTTGTAGTTGCATAGGTCAGCACCAACCATCTGGAACAGCCGCTCAGGTAGAGTTGTCGGGTTTAGAGGTACGCTTGGTTGCGTTGGACTTTTCCGCTGGCAATGGTCGCATCTTGAGACGACTTCCTGTATCTCGGAGCTGAGACCAGGCCACAAAATGGAAGATTTGGCCCGTTCTCGACACTTCGACCCTCCGAGGTGACCGTCGTGGATCCTGCTGAGCATCTCTCCTCGCATTGCCTTGGGGATTACGATGCGGTTACCTCTGACGAGTAGTTCATGGACTTCGCTCAGTTCACTGGAAACTGCGTAGAGCTCGCCAGCTTCGGACTTGACGTTTTGTATGAATTTCGGCCAACCGCTTCTGGTGTACTGTATGGCAGCACTGATCGCTGGATCCTGTTCAGACTTGTTTCTGATTTCGTCAAGTTTGCTATCCGTGGCATCCCATGACATCTGGATTGTAGCGACATGAGCCTCGATTTCTTCACCAAAATCTTCAGGCTCGGTGCTCACTACTGGACTTCGGGACAAGGAGTCTGCGACAGTCATGTTTTTCCCTTGGGTGTATACTGCCTTTCCGCTGTAGCGCATCATCCTCATCCGCATTCGTTGGCAGCGGACAGGTGCATCATTCAGTTCCTTAGAGTTGATCAGGGGAACAATGGGCTTGTGGTCGGTGAGCAGTGTGAATGACGGCAGGCCGATGAGGTAGCAATCGAACTTTTCGCACGCCCAGGTGGCCGCCAACAGTTCCTTTTCAATCTGAGCGTAGTTCTTCTCGGCCCTAGATAGAGTTCTGGAACAGTAAGCCACTGGCAGAAGATCACCCCTGTCCTCCTGGAGGAGAACTCCCCCCAGTCCGTAGCTGCTTGCATCAGCGCTTACAATGACAGGCTTCCTCATGTCGAAGGAGGCGAGTGTTGGAGCTGACGACAGTAACTTCTTGACATCAGTGAAGGAAGATGACTGCGCTGGAGTCCAGGCCTACTCAGCATCGTGATTCAGAAAATCGGTGAGCGGCTTCATGACTGTTGACTGATTTGGCACCAACCTGCCAAAATAGTTCATATTGCCGAGCACTCGTCGCAAGTCTGTAATGTTGTCTGGCTCTGGCATCTCAGTGATGGCGCTGACCTTGGATGGATCTGGCCTTACACCCTTCCCGCTGATGATGTGGCCAAGAAAATCGATTTCATCCTTGTCAAACTTGCACTTGGATTTGTTCAACTTGACCCCGCGTTCCTTTAGCCGCTGGAAGACTTTCTTTTTCAGCTTATCATGTTTCTCCTGACCATCCATGTGCAGGAAGATATCGTCCATAAAGCACTAAACACCGTCTATGCCCGCTAGCATGTCTTGCAACGTACGCTGAAATATCTCAGGCGCAGAGGTGATTCCAAAGCAGAGACGTCTGTAGAAGTACCGGCCGAACGGGGTAATGAGAGTGGTCAGCTTCGCGGAGTCGTCGTCCAGTGCCAACTGCCAAAAGGGTTATGTCGCATCAAGTTTGCTGAACTTGTTTGATCCGCTGAGTTTGTACAAGATGTCGTCTAAGGTGGGCAGCATGAATCGTTCACACTTCACCGACAGGTTGAGCTTTTTCAGATCTGTCCAGATTCTAACGCTACCAGACCTTTTCCTGACCGGGACCATCGGCGCGCACCAGTCAGTTGGAGCGATGATCTTCTCAATGACACCTGCGGCCTCCATGCGGTCTAGTTCAGCCTTGACTTCGTCCATGAGTGGAATGGGAATCCGACGTGCGACGTTAACGGAGTATGGCTGTGCATCTTCTTTCAAGATGATTTTCATTGGCTCGCAGGGTATATGTTTAGGAACCACATCGCCGAACACGAGGTTGGCAGACTCTATTCTGTCTCTAGAGATCAGTCCCAGACGAACTGCGGCGTCGCGACTGAGAAGACAGTCGGTGTCGTCGTCACGGACGAAAAAACGGAACGCAAAGTTGCGGTTGTTATGCTGCGTAGTTGCGATAAATTCTCCCACGCTCCTTATGACTCCACCAGGACTGCGAAGAACTGCAGACGTTGTTTTCAGCTTTGGACGAGGACTGAGACGGTTGTTGTCGGCCTTCGACATTATCGAAACATCGGCCCCAGTGTCTATCTTGAAGGATGTAGCTCTCCCTCCAAGGTTCAGTGTAACGCGCCATGGTGGCGCGTAAACTTCGCCGAAGTTCACACCAGGAACGACATTACTGTCCGAGTCTTTGTCAACAGCACCTAAAATGAACGAAGGAGTTTCCGATTCAGTGATTTCGTTGACATTGCGGCTGCTGCTGCGACAGACTGTTGCGAAATGATTGCGCTTGCCGCATTTTCTGCAAGTTTTCCCGCGCGCTGGGCAATTGTTTTGGGCATGACCCCTTCCACAGTTGCCGCAGTTAGAGAAAGTTGACTGTGATGCATGGCTGCCTCTGTGTTGTGAGTGTGTACCTGTTCTTCGGCCGCCTCTACCCCTGGGGTGAGCAGGCGACGAATATCCCCTCTGGCCGTAGCGCACTGCATCTACTGTGACTGCTGCACCTAGCTGACGTTGGCTACTGACCTGACCCTTTACGAGTTCGAAATGGCGTGCTGTATCGATGGCTGATTTTAAAGTAAGAGTTGCCTCGAGTTGTAAGCGCTGTGGCAGTTCATTGTCCAGTACTCCTAGGACGAGTCTATCCCTTACGGTTTCATCTCGGTCCTTAAAGTCTGCATGTTCTGAAAGCTCGTATAGGGCTCTAACATATTCTTCTATCGTCTCCCCACTGTTTTGTGCTCGTGCATGAAACTTTGCTCTTTCGTGGATACGATTCCGCTTGGGGACAAAGTGAGTGTCAAAGTTGTCCCTAGAATCGTTACCTTCGACGGGAGCAGGGAACGTGAACGTGTTAAATATCTGTTCAGCTTGGCGTCGCATAGCGTAAATTAATGAACTTACTTGAATTGCTCCGGTCTCTGCGCTCAGTTTTGTGGCTGTGCGGTATCGTAGCATACGCTATCGCCACCCAGGCCACTCGTGAGATTTGGAAAAATCAAACGGTTCAGGAGGCTTGAAATGAGGCATTCTGACACTTGTGACACGTTATCCACTGACTTCTGACACCATGTAATGTTGGTATACACACACGACTGTAAACTGGAGAGACGAACACACACGACACCAAGCAATCTTATATTGAGCCCGGGTGTAGTGTCTGACTCTTTATGTTGATCCCCGAAGTGAGTAACATTAACCAAAAGCCCATGGCATACGGGGCGCTTACGTCCCGTGATTAAAAAAGAGTAAGATACAATATGGTGACTACCGTGACAACCGGGGTGTCTTCTTGAGCAAGACACGACAACCCTAGCTCACAATACGGGGCGCTGCACAGTGGCGACCGACAGTGGAATGGTTGTAAACTGTTCTGTACTGGCGTTTTATTGTGTATTTTTTAAAGCATTTGTGCATGCATTTATGGATGTACGTATTTATAATTTTATATATATATATATACGTGTATGTATATTATGTATGTTTGATATTGTAAACCAAAGCCCTTCTGGGACAAATAAAAGTGTAATTTATTATTATTATTATTATTATTATTATTATTATTATTATTATTATTATTATTATTATTGAAAGGGGATGTTTAGAGACAATAATGGTTTTTTGTCCACCTGAATTTGAATTATCTGAGACATATTAAAAACAATTTTAATGTTCCGTCTGTTAAAGAATGAGAGTGTATTTGTTTTGTTTGATTGTTTTTTATGGGGGAGGTTGTTATTATTTTTTGTCGTTGTTTTTGTTTGTTTGTTTGTTTGTTTGTTTGTTTGTTTGTTTGTTTGTTTGTTTGGTTGATTGGTGGTTTATGTTTTTTAATGGGGGGGGGGGGTCGTTTCCCTTCCACTCCATACAACACACTTTACTTTGCAACCTAAGTGAAAGAAAAAAGACTCACTTATTCATTCATTCATTCATTCATTCATTCATTCATTCATTCATTCATTCATTCATTCATTCATTCATTCGTCCTTTCATACATTTCATACATTTCATTTGCAAAAGATGTAAGGAAAAAAGAAAAAAAGAGAACTCACCCGGAAGGCAAAGTTGTCTGGGAGCTGTCCAGCCCATTGGTCTAGATTGGCTTTGGGGTTTGCCACAGCGACAAAGGCTCGGCACTGGGGACATTGGAATCCCCCATTGTTCGTGGAAGAAGGTCGAGACTGAGAATGAAGGCGGGCAATAGTTAATGTGAGCGACCCATCATTCGGAACTGACTAAAAGTTTGATATCTCAGAATTCCGAAGTTCTAGCTGACATTTGGCCGTTTTGAGTTTCTATAATATAAGACAATCAGTTCAGAAATTTTATTTTCTATATTCTCTTACAAAATCGTAAGATCATTCGGAGTCATGGTCAATATATTCAAAGTAATCACAGAATTGTATTCGAAAAAACTGGACACGTTCTGAAACTCAACATTTTATATGTCAAATTTCTCAAAAGTAGGTACTGAGCAGATGGAACTCTGTGATTCTAGGGTAGCGATTACACCTGTAAATTATACTGTAATTGCAGAAGAATTACGCCCCCATCGATACAATTTAGATCATTTATAGGAAGCAGGTTACTTCGACCCTGCCTGCCTAGGCAAATCCGGGCTAAGAGGGATAGTATGTCTCGAGTGGACAGACAGAGGTACACTATCACACACACACACACACACACACACACACACACACACACATATATATATGCACACAACAAAACACACACACACACATATACACACGCACACGAAAATCGAACTCATGCCTTCTGTATGCAACACAGACTCAGATTTAGCAAAAATGCATCACAAAACCCGGAGGTCACTATTGGGCCCGTGCTGCAGCACAAGACGAGGCAACGACAGGCTGTGAAAATGAAATGTTTGAGTGATAGTGCTTTAACACCTCTATCAACACTATTAGATTACTTATGAGGCGGGACCTCTGAGTTTAACGTCCATCTCCGAAAAGACCGAGCCAAATGGGAAATTCGTGTAAAGTGTCCTTCTCAAGGACACAATGAACCCCCGAACACGCGTCTCACAGGTCCGGTAGCCAAGACACGAGACTGCAGGCTGTGATCGTAGTGTAGATTGTAAAGCGCACAGAGATTGCCGTTGAGCTGGAATTCGAGCTATACAGCTATGATGTAATATAATAATTTCATCATCATCATTATTGTTATTGTTATTGTCATTATTATTATTATTATTATTGTTATTATTATTATCATTATTATCATGATCATCATCCGTGTGCTCAAAGGCGTACCTGGTTCGAATCCACTCGAGAATAGTCTTGAATTTGGGGTTCTTTTTAGGGGGTGGGGGGTGAAGGCTCTGTCCTTTCTTGAGTTGACCTTATCGGAGATGGGCGAAAATTTGTTTTTAGTGGTAATTCAAGAAAGAAGCCGAACTTTGCTGTTCATACGGATTTTTAGTTTTTGCTTTCTTGGACTTCCAAGAGAGGCCTGGATCGAGGGTGTAAAGGATGCCCCGAGGGCTCACAACATCCCTACCAGCCAGGCCATCCAACTTGCCAGAGACAGAAAGCTCTTTCTCCCATCGACACCATAAATGGTACAAGAGGAAGGATGAAGTAAGTAAAGTCAGTTTTCTTCGCTTGAAATTTAAATAAACAGACAGCAACATGTATAATAATATTATTATTATGATATACTATTCAAATTATTGTTTGAGAATGATGGTTCGAAATAAGCAGCTGCATTGCATTCGGCCTGATGTTGATGCGACATAATATGATATGATTGTGTCTGTTAAGTCCTAAATGGGAGGGGGGGTACACCCCCAAAATCAAAATTCAGCTCAAAATCATGGAATTTGAGTTGTAGGCATTTTTAGCTTCCTCAGCCTCTCCTACAACTATTTCATGGCATAAGAACCCCTAAAAACCGTATTTTTTCCGATACCGGGCATGTTTGTAACCGCCATTTCCTCATTAAGTCAGTATTTTATTTTTCTTTATCGGCCGTTTTCTCAAAATGCTACTTTTGTCAATACTTTTTTGAATAACTCCACCATTGTTCAACCAATCTTCATGAAATTTTCACAGAATGAAGAGAAGAGGTAATACTAAACATTTATTTGTTGAATTTTTGATATATGGAATAGACTTTAGTTGGTGGTGTCTGGAGTGTGGGTTTTCACGGATATTTCGCAAACTTGAATGCTACCTCAGGAAAAAATTCATTAAAAATTTTCTAATTCGATTAGGAAAAAAACAATATCTAATGCTTGTGAACATGCATGCAAAAAAACAATCAATTTCTATAAGTGATAAGTGCGGTATTCATTGCGTAAGACATGTCAATAAAATCCAATATGGCGGCGTATCCATGGAAACGAAACTTTTTTCTCAAATTTGATTGCGGATTTCAAGACTCCTTACTATGCTTGTTATATGTGTGAAATGTGGTAAAATTCGGTCCAGTAATAAGCGAGATAGCCTCCAGGTGTAGCCCCCCCCCCCCCTTAAAATACTAAAATGAAGTAAAACCTGTACTACACTGTACCTGCGCCTGCTCTTACAGACCTAGTACCTTACCTGAATGTGGTCGGACAGACATTTCTTGCAGAATGTGTGAACACATGGTAGAATCTTGGGATGTTTGAAAATGTCAAAACAAATACTGCACGTCAGAAATTCCTCGAAGGACTTTGTGGGTTGGCCAGCCATCTGTGGGAGAACGTTTATTAAGTTACCTCCAATATTTAAGTTATCTATCTTATTTGAGGTAACTCCGTCAATTGATGTAACTCCATAATTTAAGTTTTCTTCCTTACTTGAGGAAACTCCCTTATTTAAGTTATCTTCCTTACTTGAGGTAACTCTATTATAATTTTTAAGTTATCGTATCTTCCTTACTTGAAGTAACTTCATTACACATTTTGTATTTCAGGTAACTCCATTATTTGAGGTAACTCCATCATCTATGTTAACTTCATTATTTGAGTTAAGGCCAATATTTAAATTAAAAATTTAATTTGAGGTAGCTCCTTTTTTAAAGTTAACTCTATCATAATTTAAGTTAACCCCAGCAAGACATAAGGACTATCATCATTGTCAATGTAACATCAATGGGATGGAGTCTTTGTAGGTAATGAGAACCTTTCTACTGAAGCAGTTTCCATTGCTAAAGCACTTCTTGTTGCTTAGTTTTTGCTTTTTTTGTTTTTTTGTGTTTTTTTTTAATGATAGTGTTGTTATGGTTGTCGTTGTGGGTGAGGGGCGGGGCCGGTCTTTTTAAAAACTTTTGCTACCTGCTAATAGTGGAATCTCCTAATCATTACTTGTTGGCAAGTGTGCTCTGACATTTGCTCATTTTGCTCACGGTCTGAGCCAATTTTTAAGAAAATAGGGAAACTTAATAAATAGATAAATTACATTATTATATTGATCTTCGTGGTGAAATTTGGGTTACTACAAACATACATACTGTCCATAAATACATACTTACAAATACATACATTACATACATAAATGCACTATATTATACCAATACAATACAATTTTATAAACATGTTATTGCAGGTCACCAGGAGGGGGAGAGATGGCATTATAGCACCACACCTCCCAGAATCAAGATAATGGATTTTTATGACATTACTTGTTCAGTTTGAGATGGTGGCCAATCAGAAGGCTACTATGTGGATGGGTGTTGTTGGGTTTTTTTTTTGGGGGGGGGGCGTGCACTGATCTGCTCCTTCTTTCTTATCAAACATCTATCATCCCATTCCTCCTTCTTTTTTTTTGATCTCTTGAAACACGTCTTTTCTTTTGCGCTTATTGACCTTATTTGTGTTGCAAGTGCCGTGAAACTCGTATTACAACCCAAGCTATACATTGCAAGGGTCCGTCTTTAGTTTACAAGTGGAATGTGGTAGGTCCTTATGGTCTTCCCGGTCAAATTTGATTGAGCAAAGCAGAAGTCAAATTGATATATCAAATATAGACAAAGATAGTACATAACAAGATGGTCCACTCAGCCAAAAGAGTGTCCGCCGGAAGTCCGCTCTTTGCTTCAGATGGCGCTGCAGCCTGTTTTGAAGCTCTCTTTCGTTTTTCCACAAGAAGAATGGGAAAAGTACCTCCTTGCGTGCGCAGATCGACTGCTGTTCATCAGTAGTTCGGGTTCGTTAAGTGCGGAGTTTTAGGTTTTAAAAAATATTAATGACCTCTCGCCTTTCACTCTAAAGTCAAATTAAACGAAGAAAACAATCACCCTTTCCTCCGGAAGAGGATTTTTAGTCAGCGTAATCATTTTTAAAAAGCGTTCTTCCGAAATTTATTCAAAAACTTGCTAGTTTAAACTTTAATTTTTTAAACTGAAGTAGGGTAACCGAATTTTGAGGACACTTTTTTAATTGGCTCAAAGAGAGAAGTGGCATCTTTTATTATGTAGACTCTTTGATATACATTACAGTGCCACATGACCCCTGCCATTATCCGACCGACACGACCCGAACCCATCTGAACCTGGCTGATGGTTGGTTTGACCAAGAAGCACCCGTTCTTAAACACATTTGTAGTACGAAGCGATGGAATCAGCCGCTCATCAATTTTTGGGCATGTAGAGTTATTGATATCATCTTAAAGCTTGTTCGTTTGCTATGCATTCAATGGAAAAATTATCCATCTATCTCGAATAGAAGTCATGATATTTTAGATTGGTGAATGTGGGGGTCAAGTGGTTTGAGTGGTAAAATTATTGAGAAAAGGGCGCCAAAGATTGGTATCTCCCAAAGCTTGAGAGACTTTGGGAAAGGAAAATTAACATTTTTGTTCGCCTTTAATCAGTGTAAAAAAAATATCCGCGAATAGACATAAAAAGGGGTTGAGCCACAATTTTTTAAAGGGTAAAAATTGCCAAACCGGCAGGAAAATGCTATTTTCTTTTATTTCATTAATTGGACGAGCGCATGTTTTCACAGCGATGCCTCACAAATGTATTATTATATTTCAGTGTCAAATGACCAGGGCCATTATCCGACCCAAACCGATCCGCTCCGACCTGATCTGTCATTTGACCATTGCGGTGGGATCGGGTCGGGTCGGGTTGGGTCGATTGCCAAACTCGTAGCCTCACGATAAACCGTTTGTCTTTAAGGCGACGAGTCGGGCACGATCGCCTTTTGCCATGATAGCGGCTTTGCGTTCTCAATCTGGCTACCAAACCGACCGACCCGACCCGATCCCCCAATGGATAACCCGTATTAGACTCTATACCAACGACCCAGGTCCGATTTTGGCCTTCAGCTTTACAATTCATGTATTTATTTATTCGATGCAATGCACTGAGTGTATAGATGCCTTTTAATTTATCAACAGACAAAATACACATACACACACATACACACACACACACACACATACACACACACACACACACACACACACACACACACACACACATAAAAGACAACGAACATATATTTACCAAATATTAATAAATGAACGTCCAACTTGTACTGTAGAGTTCAATTAGATTATTACACTGTTTTGGTAGCTAGGTCTTGAACAAGCTACATGTACTTGTTTAAAAGACGCATTTTACGGCACTTCCAAAACAATTAGGTCACATACGTGCCGAAGATTAGAAGTGTGTTACAAGAGAGTAAAAAACACCAAAAAAGGAGAGATAAGCAGTGTTGATTAAAAAATAACACGGGCTGAGGGAGGTAGAGAGTCCCAGCGAGGGGCTCTCGTGACCTAGAGGTTAAGGTGTTCGCCTCTCATTCAAAGGTCCCGGTTCGAATCCGTGTAGCGAAGGAAATTTTTTTCTCTCTATAATTAATTTTCTCCCTTCACCTCCTTTCCTGCTCTCTAGCAATATTCTGTCGTCTGCTTTCGTCTCCACTTTCTAACCCCATCCCCCACCCCTCACCTCCTTTGCTCCCTCCTCTGGGCTCCTGACTCTTTCTGCAGCCTTTATACTTCTTCCCCTTGGCTCCTTCTTACCACCGTCTTTCAGCCACACCACTGATCTTCTGGTAGGAAAGATCTCCACCTAGACTTCTCTGACTAAGGCGAAATTTCTCAGAGGTTTCGTGTGCACGTTGCGCACTTTAAAAATCCCTTGGTGGTCCAAAATCGATAAGAGAAGGCTTCGGCGGCTACCAAGGGAAAAATTCAAATTTTCCTACCATCTGAAAATGTTAGGTGTGTCCCGCGCGCTCGTATGACCTAATATGCTGTTGCTAGCGCCGTAAAACACTTACCAAAGAGGGAAAAAAGTCAAAACCGAAAAAGAAAGATACGCAATAAAAATTCTCTTATAATGGGAATCGAACTTGGTTCTCCTGCGTGCGACTGCGAAGTGCCTGACCGATGCACCACAGACACGGGTGTTAAACAGACAATGCAAATAAAAACCGCTACTGGTACCCTGGAATTACAAAGTTCTATCTGCTCACTACGTAGTTTTGAGGAATTTGACTTCAAACATTTTGAGTTTCACAACAGGCTAAGCTTTTTCGAATGCAGTTCTTTGAATGTCCTGATAACGATTCAGAGTAATCTTACGATTTTGATAGAGCAGATAGAGCATTCGATTTCTGATTTCATGGTCTTTGTAACTCAAAGAAACCAAGAATGTCAGATAGAACTTTGTACTTCTGAGGTAGCGAATTGTGTGGCATCGTGGTGAAATCAGGCTCTAGTCAAAATAATGGAATCGTATCAACCAGCATTTGCTCGCCCTTTTGGGAATTTAATGATTTTATTCTTGGCTCAACGCCTTTGAGGTTTATTTCTAAATTACTGAAAAACGT